AACAGGCGCAGCTTGATGACATCATCATCATGCGCTATCGCAATAGCGCATATAGTCAAAATCTCTATCGTTAGCCAAATTTATATCGTTTCCATCATATATCGTTTATATCGCCCACCCCTACCCCCAGCGTAACCCTTTTTGTGTATGCTGTGTATGCTAGCACAGCGGTCTCCAACCTTTTTTGCACCACGGACCGGTTTATGCCCGACAATATTTTCACGGACCGGCCTTTAAGGTGTCACGGATAAATACAACAAAATAAAACTAGTACCGGTACCAAAATAAAGAAGATTTATTCATAACACACGTGAAAACACCAAGGAAAACCGAGTTAACGATACAAACGATAACAAAATAACGCTGAAAACCGATAAAAACCCTGAAAACTATACATTTCACACCTGAGCCTCAACTTTCGCGGCCCGGTACCAAACAACTCACGGACCGGTACCGGTCCGAGGCCCGGGGGTTGGGGACCGGTGTGCTAGCAGATTCCTGCAGTTGCCTGTAGGTTTTCATGTGATATGACCACCAGCTCCAGTGGTTCCTTAGGTTGTTTAGGTTGCCACAGTTGCCTGTAGTTTTCCATATAGGTCTGCGAATGCTTGCCAACTACTAGGTGAGTGACTGTAAAATTAAACAAAATGTAATGCAAACTGGAAATAGAAAAAGTTCAGCAATGTTATTTATTAACCGGTTGGAATATATACACAATCTTACCCAAGCAACAGATGGTTGACAGTGTCTAAGCCAATGTAACTGATGCCTTATTAGCAAAAGGCATTTGGTTGGACATTTGTAGCTCATCTGTAGGTCATGGGCCTCTTGTTACGTGAGAGGTCATGATGAGGCAGGATTAGAAGGTCTCCAGCCAACTTTCACTTCCACATTAGACATTTACGTCTTTTAACATAACAGGGTCACTGTTGTAAACACAGTTTTTGGGACCAGAGAAGAGACATTTGCAGAGAAAGCACACCAGCCAGTGAAAGTAGTCATCACTGCCTCTTGCTGTCACACTGCAGATGCCAGGATGTGAGCAAAGTTGTTTCAGGTGGCTTTGGACAGGAGGGAAGTAGCCCAAGCAAAGATTGTTAGAAAGCAAGAGTTTTCGCCTGAGGCGGTGGATGGGAAGGTTTCGTGGTCCCCCTGGAGGTGTTTAGCCTTTCTGTAATTGAAAAGGAAAAGCAGCTGGCCTTCTGTGGTTTACTCCACAGGACCCTTGAGCCAGCCCTGTGACGTGCGCACTTGTTATTGCGCTGATGACTACCCACTCAGGTTCCATCCCTCCCTTCAGGCTGCACGTAGCTGTGCCTTCCAGGAAAAGTACAACGTTCTCACGGGTTTGCCTCAAGTGGGGGCCCAGAGAGAGTAACAGAGAGGGGAGAAGAGGGGCCTCAAGCTGCCACCACAGCAGCTTATAATGAGAACAAGCCTGGAGACTATTAAAACCACAGACTTCAACTGAACACACACATTTTTCAGCCTTGCCTGTCATTTATTATATACAGTGGACAACATGCTGGCCTTTATCAGAGAGTTAAAGGCACAAAGAGAAGATGGGCAGAGGGACATGAGAATGACATGACAACAAAGACCCCCAACCAGGCTCAAACCAGAGAAGCTAAAGTTCATGTTTGTGGCATTTTACCCTCAGATGCCCTCAGGGATGATTGCAGCTTGGATCACTAGGCAACCAGAAACAGACATGCATCAGTAAATTACATGCTAATATATTCCGTAGTTTGCACAGAACATATTTTAAAACTTCAGCTTGGCACCCTAGTTTGCTGCATGCATGGGTATATTTGCAAGGATGTATTCTTTTTATTAAATGTATTTTCTAAATTTCTTTTCAGCAAATAATAGAAGTACTTTGACAAATAAATAACTGATGGATATTGTATTATCCTATAATTCCAACTAGGGCTGGGCTATATCATACCGTTCACGGTAATACCGGTGTAATGTTGGGCAATGATAAGAAAATGAAATATCGCGATAGGATATGGGTAAAACGCGCATGCGCAGTGCCTTTGTTTGCATACGCACATGGCTGCAACGCAGAATGAGAAGAGCGAAAGTGGATCATTAAATGAAGCGGATGAACCAGAATTGGTTTGTAAAAATGCTGCAACTTCAGTGGTGTAGAACTGGTTTAGCTTTCATCCGTCAGATATACAACAAAGCACTATTTTTGGTAGCGCATGCTAGCGGGCCGTCGTTATTACCGTGTTTTTTGGGAGATACGGCGCACTTAAAATCAATCCTTTGATCTTTCTGAAAGTCGACAGTGTCCCTTTTAATCCCGTGTGCCTTATGTATGAATTCTGGTTGTGTTTACTGACCTCGAAACGATTTTATGTGGTACACGGCGCTCGAAAATCTGTCAAATGTTTCAGTACGACTTTGCTAAGCTACGAACCCGCACCGCTTGATGTATTGTCGGAGCATTATGGCTATAGTAGGCAGGTGCCTCGCTGAGTGAAACACATACAATATTACCATATTGTATGTGTTTATAACCTCTTTTAAGTTTTGTGGATATTATACATGGTTATGCTGAGGATATGTCGGCCAATTTCCACTGGAAATGCCTTTTGGTTAAACTGTCAGCAAGGATTTGCATTTGCACTTTAAATTTTTTATATAACTTTAATGCATTTAAAAAGCTGCTTGTGTAAGTGCAAAATACATTGATGTTTTTTGGGGTTTTTTGCACTAATAAAGTTGAGGAGTTGTAAAGTATTTTATCTAGTGTCAATTATATCATCAGTTATAATTGACATTTGAAAATTTGCGTTATCGCAAATTTTCAAATGTATATCGTGATAGATATTTTTGGTCATATTGCCCTGCTCTAATTCCAATTCTTGGGGTCTATCTGGTAATCTTCTACTCAGGAGCTTTCATTGTTTCACAAAGAGTTATTATAGTTTTGTATTTTGTGATTGGTTTTTATTAGTATTTTATCCTGACATTTTATTTACGTTTGGTTTAATTCAGCCTCGCTTTGTCAGATAAAAAAACTAAACCACAGTTCTTACTCCTCCACATCAAAAGTAGGCAGCTAAGGTGGTTCAAACATATCTTACCAGAAGGAGGTCAGGGGGCAGACACATGACACGCTGGAGAGATTTTATCTCTGATCTTGGAATGGCTCGGTGTTCCTATGGAAACTTTGCAGGAGGTGGTTGGGAAGAGTGAGGTTTGGACATCGCTGCTGCCCAAACGACCTGAACCAGGTTAGGCAGGATAAGTTGCAGTGTTGGTAATGTAAGAAGAGACTCAATAGCATTAAAATGGGGGGAGTCTAAGAAGAGGCATGGTCTGATATCCTGCGTTGGTTTTGTTCCTCGAACACCAAGGTTAACATTGTGATATGATGTTATCACTTTGCGATGTATTGTTTTGGTGTTATTGACACACCATCACACCGCACACCAAACCCTAACCATGTCCCTAACAGCCATGTTTTTATTTTTTGTTTTTTTGTTTTTTTTTTACATTTTCTTTTTCCTGAGTGGACATTGGCAATTTTTTTTCCATGTCACAGAACTAATAACATTGTGATTGACCAAGATTAATTGTGATGATTCAGGAAGAACGCCAACATGGGGGATATCAAATACACCCAAGGCAGAGAAGCCCAGACCTCCCTGACCACGTCTTTCAGCTCTTCTGGGGGAACACCAAGGTGTTCTCAAGCCAGCCAGGAGATGCGATCTCTCTCTCTCTCTGACGACATAGCTCCTGGAATCACTGGGACGCTCGGGTCAGACCACTGGGCTTGCACCCATAACTACTGTCTGACTTACTGGACCCATGTGGTGCTTCTTGTGCGTTGCAGACCCACAGAAGGCCAGGTCCATATTTTGTCTTTGGCCTGCATCCAACTGGCCCTCATAGGCTAAGGCCCGGCTACCAGGCACTCTTTCTTGGACCCCTCTCCCCGGGCTTGATTCCAGGGGGCCCTGGTAACCCTATCCTGAGCAAAGCAAACTGGCTCCTTGTTCTCTTGTTCATAAGGGTCGTCTGAATCACTCTTTGTCTGGTCTCTTGCCCAGGACCAATTTGCCTTGCAAAACCCAACTAGGAGCAAATGCCCCTCAACATAGCTCCTGGGATCAGTGGGGCACAGACCTCCCCACCACAATAAAGCAGGGATTCATAAATGTCATTACAAGATGAAAGGGGAAAACATTCACATATGCATACAGTATATAGACTCTAAATGTAGCTTCTTTTTTTAATGTAAAACATTAAGCCAAGATTCTGCTAATTTTGGTCAAGCAGACCTTTCAAAGATGTTCTCACTTTCAAAAACCTATCCTGTTTCAGCCTCTGTGGGGTTAAAATGATGGCACGAGGTAGAGTGAGTTTATGTCAACAAAACAAAAATTCACTGGAATTTCCCCTTTTTATTCAATGGGAATGGCTTTGACATTTAATTTAAAAAAAGGCAAAACGCCAGCGTGTGTTCCATGTTTTACAACAAACACTAATACGCAGGTTGAGAGGGCCTGTCCTAATATAATCTAATCTACTGTAGCAGTAAAACCCTGGAGCACGTTAAGGCTGTTTGTAGTGACATCATGCCAAATCCATCTGTGCCTGTGCTCGAAAATGTGTGAACTGCTGTCTGTTTATTCTGGTGATATGTGTGTGTTTTTCTTGTCATAAGTGAGTTAGTGTAATTGTGTGAATAATTGCAGGCGCTGGTATACGAGGACTGATTAGAGGGGAAAGTCCTCTGCCTGGCTCTGCACAGGTTTTTTTGAACAGAAGCGTGCACAAATGGCGTGAGGATTCTTATTTTTCTACATGTTTATCTTAGCTTGCAATCAGAATCTCCCTGGCAGTGTTTCTACTGATCGGCGTCCAAGTTTTTACCACACACACACAGTCTCATCCAGAGGTGTCAGTGTAGGTGGTTGCATGATGTCGTTTGTCATCGGTCTGACTGTTTTGATGCTCACTCTGTGTTTTTATGTCCTCTCTTTGCAGGTTGTGCACGGCTGCAGCTGACAGAAAGCTACGCCTGCTGACTTCTGATCTTCAGGATAGGCATGAAGTCAAGGTAATGCAACATCTGGAGCACATTGGCCACAACTGCGCTTGTCATTAGGCATCAAACTTGCGCTGCTTAGTGCTGACGTTCAGTGCTTAGCGATAGAGGAAGTAGTTAAACTGCTACAAAACATTCATTTAACAACTTATTGATTGGTATATTTTCTGTTTTTGTTCACACGTTTGTTTTTCCAATGCTGTCACTAGGTAATGGAGGGTCACACCAGCTACATTAACCATTTGGTGTTCGAGCCCATGGAGGGGAAACAAATTGCTTCCGTCAGTGATGACCACACTTGCAGGTCGAACCCGTTTTATTTCCATGTGTGTGTGTGTGCGTGTGTGTGTGTGTTCCCAGCTTCTGATTTTCAGTTCTGTTCTCTGTTAATGGTGCAGAAAGTTCTGACAGTGTTTCCACAGTGAAACACGATGCTAAGCACAACATGCTCCAGTGTGACTGTGCGTAAGCACAGAGCTGCTTTGTAGCTTTTCTAGCTAATTGGTTAAATATGGAAATCCAATTAGCTGCAGAAAGATTTTCCTCTCTCTAAAGGGGGGTGGGTGTCCCGTAACAGGGTCCCCAAAATTTCCTTTTCAATTAAGGCGAGAGGAGGGGAAAAAGTGTATCAGTAGCTGGGGTCACCACGGGGACAACCCCTGTAACATTGTGAGGCTGGTTCTGCTGCAACATACAAGCACGTCATTTAGCTTTTACTTCTGGATGCCCACTTCAGCCACATAGCCGTTAGTATTAGCTGTCCTGGAGGTAGTTAAGTCATATACTTTTAGCTAGTTATTTCAGCTAGTGTTGCTTTTTGTTTCAAATGGCAGCAGCAGTGTAGAAACTCTAATATTTTTAGATTCAAACAAAAAAATGCAGGTAGTTGGAGATAACGGACTGGATATAAAGATGAAAATAGCTACACTTACACCACCTGTCATGGAATAAGGGGTGACTATGTAAATCAAGACTGTGGACACATAGTAACAACTTCATGCACCAAATCATACTCTTCTTTATGTCAACCAGTTGGGGAATATCTTGAATAATATAGAATAGAATAGAATAGAATAGAATAGAATTCAACTTTATTGTCATTGCACATGCGCAGGTACAGGGCAACGAAATGCAGTTTGCATCCATCCAGAAGTGCTTTAGTGATATAGATATATTACAATATATATTAGCAATAATATAGATATGTGAGTATATTACAGAAATGGGTCTATTATGGTATGTTATAATGTACACGGTATGAAGTATGTTGTGAATATTCTATAACTATAGGTATGTACAGGCTGTAGTGAGTACAAGCTATGTACAGGATATGAACAGGATATAAATATGAAAAACTATACGAAATAAATAACTTTACAGAAATCTGAGATATACAGCTATATATATAATATGCGCACAACATCACATGAGAAACGTCAATCAAGTCATAAATTGGGTTAGGAGTAGGCTTGTCTTTTTATACAGTTGGACCTGATTGAGTCGACACCTTCTGGCTAATAGAAAGAAGAAAAAGTTTCGTTTTTCGGACCTGACTGTAGACTGCATATGTAGCTATGTTTCTCTATGAAGACCTCCGCGAGGCCTTGTAGATCTCAGAAGGGAGTCTGGTGTGGGAATGGAGAGTAGACCTTTAACTGAGGAATCCAGTGTCCGGGATGGGGTGTAGGGGAGGAGAAGGTTCTGATAATTACTGGATTTGTAGCTGAGAAGAAGGATTTTACAGGAGACTTACCTTGACTGGGAGCTGGTGAGGGTGATGGGTTAGCAGGACTTGGTGCAAAGAACTTTCCAGAGCAATGGAACCTTATTGTTGTTCAGTTAGAGAAAGTTGGTTGACATCCAGATTTTGATATCTTCCAGGCAGTGAATCCAAAGCAGAAATACCTTCAACATGCTTTTTTTTTTACTGGCTAGTCTGGTTGCTGAAAGACTTCAAGTGTTATAGAAGTATATTTGAAACTCATTTCCCTTGCTCTGTGACCTCAGTAAACACTTTCCACATGGCTTTATGATCTCAGTTGCTAGTTTCAGGCCTTATCAAATAAAAAGTGAAGATTATCATAATTTTAAGAGCATTATCTAAGTCCTTCCTGTCTTGTTGTAGAGCCATGCCTTGCTTTTCGTGTCTGGTTTCAAAACACCAAGATATGAAAGCAGCACGGTGGCACGGTGGTTAGCACTGTTGCCGCACAGCAAGAAGGTCCTGAGTTCAATTCCACCATCAGGCCGGGGTCTTTCTGTGTGGAGTTTGCATGTTCTCCCCGTGTTTGCGTGGGTTCCCTCCAGGTACTCCAGCTTCCTTCCACTGTCCAAAGACATGCAACTTGTGGGGATAGGTTAATTGGATAATCCAAATTGCCACTAGGTGTGAATGTGTGAGTGAAAGTGAGTGCGAATGGTTGTCTGTCTCTGTGTGTTGGCCCTGCGACAGACTGGCGACCTGTCCAGGGTGTACCCCGCCTCTCGCCCTATGACAGCTGGGATAGGCTCCAGCGCCCCCCGCGACCCTGAAAAGGATAAGCGGAAGTGAATGGATGGATGGTGAATGGAAGATATGAAAGCCCAGGCATGCAGCTAACCACAATACCTTATTGGCATTTACTGCCACATCGCAGACAGTCCTTTATCATGCTGCCATTAAGAGAGAGTTTAATCTCATATTCTGAAGTATAAAAAAATGCTATTAATATCTGTTGATGTGGATTCTGAGGTGGAGGATATTTTTCCAATAATTTATTGTGAAACTATGTGTGTTTGCGTTAGTATTGTATGATTTTGTCTTGAGAGTCACACTGCATTATAATCCAGCATTTTTTTTTAATATACAGTGCTTTGAAAAAGTATTTATATATTTTTTATATAATTATGGCATAATTTCTTAGATTTTCTCCGTATTTGTCACACTTACTTCTTACACATCATCAAACAAATACTAATATTAGATCTCCAAACCTACCTCCCTGTGTGGAAAAAGTAATTGCCTCTTAAACCGAATAACTGGTTGTTCCACTCTTGGCAGCAAGAACTGCAATTAAGCATTAGTTATCAAACATCAGTTATCATAGAGTCTTTCAGATCATCGTGGAGGAATTTTAGCTGATTTTTCTTTACAGAAGTTTACAACAGAAGTTGTTTGGTTTTTTTTCAACTGCATTGAATGGTTTTCCAGATGCTTTGGCCTGTTTAAGGTCATGCCAAAGCATCTCAATCAGTTCTAAGTCTGGACTTTGACTTGGCTCGTGTGTTTCAGATCATTGTCCTTCTGTGTAACTTGAGTGCTCTTGAGCTTCAGGTCATAAACTGATGGTCAGAAATGTTCTGGAAGAGAGCAGAATTCATGTTTTCATCAAGTTAATCTAGCAGCAAAGCAGCCCTTCACCAGCACACTCACAGCAACGTGTTTGACTGTTGTTGTGATGTTCTTTTTATGAACTGCTGTGTTAGTTTTATGTCAGATGTAACGAGACTCAAACCTTCCACAAAGTTCAGCTTTTGTGTCGTCAGTCCACAGAACATTTTCTTAGAAGTCTTGGAGATCATCAACATGTTTTTTGGCAAATTTGAGATGAGCCTTTTTGTTCTTATTGGTCAGCAGTGCTTTTCTTCTTGAACTCTCCCATGGATGCCATTTTTGCCCAGTCTCTTTCATATTGTTGAATCATGAACTCTGACCTTAACTGAGACAACTGAGGCCTGCAGTTCTTTAGCTGTTGTTCTGGGTTCTTTTGTGACCTCCTAGATGACTCATCGATGCACTCTTGGGGTAATTTTTGTCGGCTGGCCACTCCTGGGAAGGTTCACCGCTGTTTCGAGTAGGGCTGGGCCATATTATACCGTTCACGGTAATACCGGTATAATGTTAGGCAACGATAGGAAAATGAAATATCGCGATAGAATGGGAGTAAAACGCGCATGCGCAGTGCCTTTGTTTTCATACGCACATGGCCGATTGTTGAGTGAAACAGATGAACCAGAATTGGTTTGTAAAAATGGTGCAACTTCCGTGATGTGGAACTGGTTTGGTGTTTGTCCATCAGATACACAACAAAGCACATTTTTTTTGCAGAACATGCAAGCGGCCATCGTTATTGTCGTATTTGTCGGACTAAGATGCTCTTAAATCTGGGAGTAATCTGGGTCCTAAACGCCGTATGCTTCAGGTCAAACAACACTGCAGCATCACTGAGCGTTAAAAACTGTCTAAATTCTTTCATCTTTAGTAAAACAATCAGCATTGCTGCTTTACCAGGTGTAACTATGAAGTTTAGCGTCCAGGCATCCATTAAAACAAAATTTATTACATTTAACGGCGTTAGAAGTTAGCAGGAAGCTAGCGGAAGTTACCTTGCTAGTTTCGCTAGTTACCTAAGCATGATATAGCATGTTCTGACTGAGAGATTTCTGAAAAAATTCAAACGTACATCTCTGCTATCACTTCCAACATAAATGAAGACAGGAAACTAAACAGCAGTGACGTTTGTAGGGTTACTGAAGTTGGGCTAGCTGGTATATAATGATGTGCTACGTGATCGCTAGCGACACAGCTATGTTAGCATAACATAAACAGTGAAGCTGGAGGACGAACACTAACACTTTTCCACTTATAAAAGTTAACGTGAAGGTTCTCATGGTTAGAGACAAATGCAATCGCATGGCAGGATGCTGTAAACGGACCAAACTTCAGTCAGGAGAACAACTGAGATAATCCATCCACAATACGAGGTTAGTCATTAATATACTGCAACAACATGGGAATAGAGCAGCTGCCAGAGAATTCAACATTAATGAATCAATGGTACAGAAGTGGAGGAAGCAAGAAGAATGAGTTTAATAAAGTTTGATTTATCTGACTGCTTTGTTTCGCTTAATGTGCCTTATAATCCCGTGCACCTTATGGTCCGAAAAATACGTACTGCACACTGCAGTTTAATGTTGCAAAGCACCTCTTTTTAACTTCAGTGGATATTATACATGGTTATGCTCAGGATATGTCAGCACATTTCTACTGGAAATGCCTTTTGGTTAAACTGTCAGCAAGGAATTTGCATTTGCACGGTTACATTTTTATAAAGCTTTAATGTACATAAAAACCAGCTTCTTGTTGAAGTGAAAATAAATGGAAGGTTGTCTTTTTGCGCTAGTAATGTTGTGGAGTTGTATTTTGTCTCGCATCAATTATATCGTCGGTTATATCGTTATCGCAAATTTTCAAATATATATCGTGATAAATATTTTTGGCCATATCGCCCTGCTCTAGTTTCGAGTTTTCTCAATTTGTGCATA